CCTCATGTATAATATACAATTGACCTATCATTAGCACAAAATTAACCCCTCAGTGGACATTATATATGCAATATTTAATAAGAATTCTAAGATTCTAAAATAAAAAAAATTTTTGTAATGGAAATGTTCCATGGATGTTAAAGGTTATTCATGGAACCATAAATGACAATGAACAACTTTTATTATTTTTATTATCTTAAAACTTCTGCCAAAAAGTTAACTAGAATGCATAATAATAACTGAGAAGCTGGATGTTGCATTAGTATGAAAAAAAGAGCGTGAGTTTGTGGTGTCATATGAGAGATGCAAAAATAGTGCCGGTTTCAGTTACCTGGACGAACGGACTGATGCAACACTGCCATTGACAAAAGAGAATGTTAGGAAATATCTGACTGCCATGATTGAATAACAATAATCTTGCATTTAATTTAGTTAGAATGCATAGCTGCTTCTGAATAATCATAAGTGGAAAACAAAGCGTTTTGCCTGCTAAATGGTATAGATACAATATATACACTGCCGTTTAATTGTTTCCTTCATAGATCATACTAATATGCTGATTTGGTGCTCAAGAAACATTATCAGGGTTGACAGTCATGCTGCTTCACATTATTTGTGGAAGGTGTGATATTTTCTAGAATTATTTAATAAATGGAAAGTTCAAAAGAACAGCATTTATTTGAAATAGACAAATTGTGTAGCATTTTAAATGACGTTACTGTCTCTTTTGATTAATTTACCGCGTCCTTGCTGAATAAAAGTATTAATTTCTTCTTACTGACTCCAAACGTTTGAATGGTAGTGTACCTATAGCGGTAACCCCACTAACCTGAGTTAAGCAATCAAACCATGACCCACAGGAAAAAGCTTTTGTTGAGCTGAAAAAAAAAAAGCCTTTATTAGAGAGGACAAGCTTTTATTGCTTGTCACTTTTTTTGACATCAAGTATGTCACTGCTCTTTTTAGCTAGGTGTCATGGTGGAGTGTGTATGCAAACCAACACAGACTCAAAAAAAGAAAAGAAAGCCGTAATAGCGCAATCAGCAGATCACTCAAACGGTGATTAATATATCCGCACAATGACTCACACGTGTAGGTAGATGCAGACACGCAAAATAAAAGGGCACACTTGTGACAGGAAATTGAGGTTCTGGTCTCAGCGTGGATATTTCCATAGCAGCCCTGGTGTGCTTTTCGTTTGCAGGCGATTGCTCAGATTGCTCAAGGAAGGAGAGGGAACGTCTACCACCTCACTGCTGCTTCCAACCTCGCACACTCGAGAAAATAATCCAATCCAGCAACGCCTCACCACCTGCTGAAACAAGCACCGAACGCGGCTCTTGTGTTGCAGCTTTTCAGAATCACAACAACACGAGCATTCAAAACAGCAGCACACAATATGTCCCTACACCTCACAACTGATGAGGAATCTAGAATGGTTCTTACACAGAACCAAATGACTTCAAGACATTTAGTTTTGTCTATGGTTCTGCATTCTTCTGCCAAAGCAACACAGAAAGAGTTTGGTTACTGATGATTTGTAAAAGTTGGAAATGGAATGGGAAAATCTGGCATCCACAGTCATCTCCATCCCGTGTTTTTGTTTATTCATTAAATATGTGTGCTGAATTTGTTTATGCTTTCAGCTACAAGTAAATGTCCAGTATCAGCTATATTTATCGCATTTGACGATCCATTACACAGATTCTCTCCCAAATTGAATGAAGACAATATTGAGCTTGCAGACTGAGTTGATGAGAGGGGAAAAACTGGGCTCTGTAAAATAAACCCATAGCCAATAAAAATATAATGTATAATATAACTTTCTTGTGTTGTCCCAAAATCCATGCGATTATTGGCTACTTGTTATAAAATAAAATAAAATAAAATAAAATAAAATAAAATAAAATATTGTGTTGTCCCGAAATCCATGCGATTATTGGCTACTTGTTATAAAATAAAATAAAATAAAATAAATACTTTTGTACCTAGTTCAAAACAATTATTGGACAAGTGGTTCTCAAAAATACTAAAAGAATAATCAATGGAAACATTAAGCTAGATAGATAGATAGATAGATAGATAGAATCACATTACAACAACAAGATCATGTTCACTGCTATAAACGCTTTTGTACCTAGTTCAAAACAAGTATTGGACAAGTGGTTCTCAAAAATACTAAAAGAATAATCAATGGAAACATTAAGCTAGATAGATAGACGGACGGACGGATAGATAGATAGATAGATAGAATCACATTACAACAACAAGATCATGTTCACTGCTATAAACGTGAACCACCAAAAGCCAAAGGAATTTTTTTTTCACAATGCCTCAGATGAGATCTGTCATTTATAGTTGTTTATCTCTTTCCACACACTTGTTAGTGGGTTTTCTGTGGAAAAATAGTCACTTAAAACTCACTGCTAGAATAACTTTGGAGAACTGCCAACAGTGTGAAATACTAGATATATAGATATATACAGTAAACACGCACGCACACACTTTTTTGAAAGCATCATTGTTGCTGAAGCTCTAGTGCGTGAGAGATATATATCCTGCTTTATGGAGGTGCTTTTATGGAGTGAAACAGAGCACCGATTCAGGAGATGTACAGTCCGTCCTGAGTCATAATAAAAGGCTGCCTGCCCTCTGTTGGTCTGAACGTGCCACTGCATCAGATGAGGACGGACCTTGCACGCTTTGCCTTTTGTAGCCCTCTTTCTTTTCACCATCCCTTCTTTTTTATCTACTTAAATCAGATAATTCTCCCTCCCCATTCTCCATTATGGTGCTCTCTGCCTCTCTCTCCAACTCGTTTCCGTCGCACATCAGAGGAGAAGGTTTTTGTGCAGCGCCGAAGTGCCTCGTTCGGCTCGGCTCTCTGTAGTGTGGCTCTCAGCGCATGTGTTCTCTGGTAATGATCCCCTCGCTCCTCATTACAGGCAGAACGCTGTGACCTCCCTCCCATCGTACGGGCCCTTTCATTGGCCTCAGTGGCTCAAACGCCGGCCCGGGCCAATCTGCAGTCGTCCGCGGTCACAGAAAACATCTTTAGTATTTTCGTACACAGATGAGGGGGACCGATACAACCCTTGCAGCTCACATAACGTCCTTTTGTATGGGGCAGAACAAGCTGGAAACCGCTTTCATTACACAAACACACAGACTGGACAGGTATGCATGACTTGGGAGGGATGAAACGTCAGCTTTAAAGAGGGGTTCTTCTCCCAGTGTCCCAAGAACATGCCCTCCAAGCCCCGAAACTGCTCTAACATGCCAAAAAAAAGGTGAATAAAACATGCGCTGTGCTTGCATTGTTTTTACATTGTTAAATCCTGAGTGTGCTGCTTGGAGCGCCTCTGGACACTCGGAACGCTAGCGTGATTGGATGTGTAGACTCGTCCTGATGGAAATAGTAGAAATCTCCTGGTTGATGTGCTTTGGTGTGTTTTGTGCTGGGTGTCAGGGCTGCGTGCGAGCATTTGTAAGCATTTCTGAAGCCTTCCGGTCGCTTAGTGCAGCAGATTTAAGTAGATTTAAACGTCGACAAGTTATTTAGAGGTACTTCCCAACACAATCTAAATATATGAGCTCACTGAAGTGAATGATCCTTACAGAAACGTGCCATAGTAGCCATAGATTCTGCCATAATACCATACATCATTACATTTTAAAATAAAGTAACTTGCTATTAGCCACCATTATCTAGAAATAAATAAATAAATAATAATAATAATAAAATCAAACAAAAAAAATATTAAAAGATTCTTAAATGTACCTATAATGCTACCTATGCCATTTTTACTACTACATTTACTACTACTAATTTATTGACATTTTGGTCTCTGGATATGAAGACCAATCTTTCAATGTCCAGTATTGCTCAAAAGTTTGGAGTCAGTAAGAAATGTATTTGTTTGTTTGTTAATTTAATTTTAGTAGTAGTAGTTCTTCAGCACGGATGCATTAAATTTACCAAAAGTGACAATAAAGACATTTAAATGTTACAAAAGATTTCTGTTTCAAATAAATTCTGTAGTTGCTCAGAGAATTTTGAAAAAAAAGTATCGCAGCTTCCACAAAAATATATGGCAGCACAACCTTTCATGTGCCACTGAACCCAGATTCAATGTCAATTCAACGTCTAACGTCAATGTTTATTTGATGTCCAAAACCGACATCAGCTGACGTTGATATTTGTTGTGTTTAGGTTGTGTAACCAAAATCCAACATTAAGTCAACGTCAAATTGGCGTCAAATACTGACATCAACCCGATTTTCATTCTCAACCAAAATGCAACATCTGTCCGGTGTCATGTCCAACATCAACCTGACGTTATATTGACGTCCTGTGCCTGCTGGGAAGACTGGAGTAATGATGCTGAAAATTCAGCTTTGCATCAGGAATAAATGACATTTTAAAATGTATTCTAATCAAAAATGGGTATTTTAAATAGCAAAACATATGTTTTTACTGTATTTTGATCAAAGAATTGCACCCTTGGTGAACATTAGAGACTTCTAAAATCTTATCTAAAAACGTATAAATGGCCCCAAACTTGGAACGGTAGTATAGGGATATTTTGCCCATTTTATCATCAAAAAATGCACAAGATTTGAGGTCTCATTCACGTAAGTAGCTCAAACAGTGCAAGACGTGTTACACACCACTAAACCCTAAGAATAGTAAGAGTGATAGTAACAGTACTAGTCAGGCAAGCATCACTAATAGTTGTAGCGAGTGTGATATTTTGGCGGAAACTGTGGTTACCATGATACACAGGGAAGTGATTAGCGTTGTTCCCTCTGGGCTAATTGTACTTTGCCACATTCTTGAACCTGAATTTCTCTACTTTTCTTTGCCAGCAAGCACTCTTTATCTTTTGTTCTGGCTCTACTCTTTCTCCTCTCTGGCGGCGAGCCCAGCTGTGAGCGTCCGGTGCTGAGAGTCAGCGAGTCCTCCACACTGTGGTGTAAAGGGCTGCTCTGAAACCCTCTTCTGATCTGCCTCAAAGCATTAGCTACACGCTAACAGTTCCTCACCCAGGCAGAGAGACTGTGTGCTTCACTGACTGAGAGAGAGTGTGTGTGTGTGTGTGTGTGTGTGTGTGTGTGCGTGTGTATACGTGTGCTCTCAGTATGGAGTGACTGTAACAACCCGATTCTTTCTCTAGCCGCGAAGCCAAGAAAACCAAAGAGTTTGAAGTTGCTAGGGCATCATTCAAAACCAAAATAAAAGCTGGATGCTGATTGGTTAATACATTGTTCCAGCTGTATTAAAGCACTCTATAACAGGTATTACACAAATTCCTGTTGACCTACAGTAGATTACACTGCACAGGTCACATGAAACAGAAGTAGAAATGGGACTTGAGTCAAACCATTGGTTGTTGATTGGATGGAGGTGAATTTGAATGCGAGCTTGCTGTTGATTTCAATAAAGAAGCGCCGTTTATGAGGACTGCATAGCTAAATGATTGTAAAAGTTTGCATATGCCGCCAGACAGAACACTTTCATTTCACTAGAAGATCAAGTTAAGACATTTTGATTCAAAATTGCAAGGTCAATGAAAAAATGGATGAATCCTTTACAATGAGAACAAAAAGGAAGCATTTAGAAGAGATTCCATTTCATGCAGACTTTAACCTTAGTTTATAAGAATATACAGTGTATATATGTGTGTATCACCCTTACTGACCCCAAAACCTAAAACTTCAATAAAACCATCAAAACAAGATCCTCCTTGCCCAAAGGCAGAGTGACCTAACCACATTAGTCTGGCGTAACATGCTGTTTTCAGCAGGCTAGCGGCTCTATATGCAGTATAGATCAATGTAGAGAACAGCCACGAGTGAACACCACATCATGTCATTTCATATTCCTCAAAAGGTTTTCACTGCAAACCGCTGTGTGCACCATGTTAACGTGAGATTCTCACGGCGGGTAAAGACAGCCCTTATTGATTGTGAGCACACTTCATACAGCGATAAGTCCATGCAGTGCCATTTGAGAGGTAAAACTCTAGCCCCGCTGAAATAACGCTTATTTGCTCAATGAGAACGTGTTTTAGAGATGAGATGTAAATCGATGCAGTGCCACTTGACTCATTTCTCTCAGCAAGCCGACAGGCCACACAATGGCTCGGCTCTTTTGTTTTATCTCTCCTTCTCTCTCATTCCCCGCTATGGTTCCTGTAAGTGCCTCTTTACCTTAAGCTATTATCACCTGTGAATTTACTCATAATGCTTCTGCGTGCACTCTGTTGAAATATATCAAGCGTAGGACTGTAGCTACGCTGAAGATGGCCGCGGCGCTCTGTACTGCTGACGGACTGATTTGTTCCTCTTAAGCGTCCTCTTACTTCTGCATTCCCTCCTTCTGCTTTAGCACCACCATCTGTCTTGTTTCCCTCGGAGAGAGTGAAAAGGTTTAGAGATCTGGAAGAGGAAAATGTAATTTTTCTGCACCCTCCAATCTGCAACACAGAGGCGCATTAGCATAACACGGTGTCAACAGTGGCACATCACGACGCAAAAAATCACATTGTTTCCATTATAGTCAATGAAGCTGCAAGCGGCCGATGTGCCACACTTTCTGTTTCAAGTGCAACAGCAGAAGCTTTTTTTTTTTTTTTTGCATGCGTCTAAAATAAAATTACTTTTTAAAGGGCTGTTAAAATTTACGCGTTAATAACACGTTAACGCAAATTCATTTTAACGGGACTAATTCTATTAACGCTTGATTAACGAAGCGCACATTTTCTGTTTGACCCGTGGCAAAAAAACATCTATGACATATGAAACATGTGTAGTCTTTATACTCTACGTTGACTATGGTTTCACTAATAATAGACATACATTTGCATAAAGCATCCATATTTGTCCATGCCCTTGTTGATTAGAGTATTAAAAACTTGAAAAGTATTCATTTAAGGTACATTTAGAACAGATAAAAAGGTGCGATTAAGTTGCGATTAATCACGAGTTAACTCATGACAATGCGATTAATCACGATTAAATATTTTAATCATTTGACAGCCCTAATATATATATATATATATATATATGTATATATGTATGTATATATATGTATATATGTATGTATATATATATATATTAGGCACATGGAGTGAAAAAAGTTGAATTATTTTAATTTGTAGGTTTATTTATAAAAATATAATAATTTTATTTTAGACACATGGGGTGAAAAAGTTTAATCTGAAATTAGATTTTTTTTTTGCCACTTTTCATCAATTTAATGTATCCTTGCTTAATTAAAAAAAAAAAAAACTCATTAAAAAGTTCATTATTAGCAAACACCGTACAAGATATGATTTTGCTCCTTACAGTAGAAACTGGACGACTGTATGGACAAAAACAGCGGGACAATACCCTCACAAACAACTTTCCCCAGCCTCTGACTTATTAAAAGTAAACAAACTGTGGGTGCAGGTGTGCTGAGAAATCAACCTATCATAGAAAAATAACCCCATCAAAGGACAACAACAAACATCCATTCTATTCCACACCACAGCCATGAAAATGCCAGAGTCTTCAAAAAAGGTGTGTGCTTCTGTCTATTTCCTCTTATTTTTTTTTTCAGAGTAGAGACCCGAGGCATGAGGCAATTTCATAACGGCCTGAAATATTGCAAAGGCCTCTTTACTGAGGTTAAACGCTATACAATGGGCGCTCTCGTGTTACACAAATACCGCTCGACACGCCGAGGTTCCCTCTCTCTCTCACGCTCTGAGGAGACTGAAGTGCAGTATCCGCTGCATAAGAGATGCAGATCGGATGTGTCAGGAGTTCCTTGAATGACATGCCATCATCTGAAAGCAGGCGTGACACGGGGTGAAGCACCCCACGCTGCTTTGCTCTTAACCGCTCTACAAAGAGAGGTGGTCAGAGAACGAACGCATCAGAATGATCGAGATCCGCTTTGACGTGTCCTGAACTTTCATACAGGATGCCCTCGGAGTCTGAGCCGAGGGGCTTCAGGGTTCTGTCTCTGCTCCAGACGACCACATAACATTCTGGACTGCAAGGACTTTGACTCTCCAGACTTGTCTTGAATGCAAAGGACGTTAATTTCAGAAGAACAGCAGAGAGAGAGTGCTGTGGGCCTGCAGAGCTCTACAGCTACCTGAGATCTGGAAGCATTTTCTTATTCATTTTCTCTATTCACATTAAAATAAAATAAAATAAAACAGACAAATAAATAAACTATTTTAAGTAGAGTTGTTAACTAATTTAATTGATTTAATCAGTTAATTTAATTTAAATTCAATTAATTCACTTTTATTTTTTAAGGAAAGAAGACTAGTGTAAATAGTCTTTGTATTTATTTAATTTGTACATTAAAATAAAATAAAATAAAACAGACAAATAAATAAACTGTTTTAAGTAGAGTTGTTAACTAATTTAATTGATTTAATCAGTTAATTTAATTTCAATTCAATTAATTCACTTTTATTTTTTAAGGAAAGAAGACTAGTGTAAATAGTCTTTGTATTTATTTAATTTGTTTGAACTATTTTTGTGAAGTAGATTTATTTTAAGAAGTTTAAATCCCACTCGTGTGTGGTTTCTTCTACACAAGCATAAATCACTATCGATTCATCTTAGAACTGGTAGGTCTGTCTGAAAATTTTTATTTTTATTTATTATTTTTATTTTAAATATTTATTTTTATTTTATTATTATTTATTTTATTTATTTATTGAAAAATGTCAGTATTTATTTCCGGATGCAAGCGTTGCGCTGTAAGGACTAAACAGCGACGCAGCCCACGTTTACCTG